GCGCCCGCGCCCGAGTCCGTGCGGGCAGCGCTGGCCCCCGAGGCCGGCGGGGACAGGCTGGGCGCAGGGGCGCTCCGAGGCAGGTAGCTGGCGGGCCTGCTGATCCTGATCAAGTCTTCTACCAAGAAGCTGGAGTGGCCGGAAAAGGCCGACTGCAGAGACTGAGGCAAGGTGAGGGTAGGAGTTGGCCGCAGCAGGCTCGGGTACACAGCCGGAGGAGCTATGAGGCTGGGGAACATCATCTCAGAGGCTGGGCGAGGACCTCGCAACGGGTGCCAGGCACCTGGCTGGGGGGCTTGGTTTGTTTGTTTGTTTGTTTGTTGCTCTGCTTTGCAAACCTCTCAGTAAAGATCCAGCTAGGCAGCCTGGCAGGGTTGTCTTTGCCCTTCCTCCTGGATGATGGGTTTTATAGTGGTCAGCCCAGCTAAAGCGCTTTCAAAAGTGACAGCTCGAACAATGGGGTTCAACAAAGTTCTCCACTTGAGCTTCATTCATCGCGAGCTCGGGGCACGCTGATTGGTCCGGGGGTGCAATTTATGATTGGATTAGACTTCATAAGCAAGCAATGCACAATGGCCTCGCAACAAAGAAAGTGTAGTCATCAATTTTGCATATTGACCGCCTCTTTGGAAGACGTTGCTCCAAAAGCTCCCAGCAGGGTTTTGTTCAGAAGCAACACACACAGGCTAATTAAATGCCTATTTAAAAGTTTCAAATGACATCTTGCCTCATAGAGAAGGAATTATTTAAAGAAAGCACTAAATTTATTTGCTGCTCCCCTGCTGCGTGTAGGAAATAAATCAATACATATTCATCCAAACTTATCTCCAGGCTGTCAAAAAAGCACCCATTTTGAATAATGGCAAATACAAATTAGAGCCCCGAAGGATTCTGATATGGGGCCCGATTGTTTTCGGAGTCTGTCCTCCGGGCTTTCAAGGGCCGGGGACATGTCCAAGTATACTTATTGTACGTGTGTGAAGCAAGTTTCTCTCTACCTACCTATCTAGCTACAAATGCAGCCTGCACAGATTTGAAATGTTGTAGTCGAACAATAAGTGGGTCCTACATGAGTCGGGCCAGAGGCTTGCAAGTCACTGGGAACTTAGCTAGGGCAAGGCTCTGTCTGCGAGGCAACCTGAGCATTAAACGTACAGAAGATCTCTCCAGCTCTCGAGCACCCCGGTTTTCACTCGGCTGGATCTCCCGGGGATCTAACCTCTGTGGAAGAGAAGAGAAATCAAGACTGCTGGGATGTGGAAGCGACCAGTCATCTATCTCCCAGCAGCTTGTGGCACCGCGGTGACACGAAGATGATGCTTTGAGTTCGTGCTATGTGGTGTTGTTGTCAGCAGCAGCTTTAAAAATACAGCGTGGGTCCGTCTCGGCTTCCCCCAAAATCACTTCCAGCCACTTCTTTTAGCAGACTTTCTGCGAAGCAAAGCCAAAGCCCACC